ACCTGTTTTTATTTGTCTGGTTGATATACTCATGTGGATGCGAGATATGCTTAAAAGGAGGAAGGATTGGTTAGGTTGTGTGCATGTGCTAGCATTTTAAAGTAAATGCAACAGATACTGATCCTAGTAGTGCACTTTGCCCTCTTTTAAAAGTGGTTAAAGATATACAGTGAAGCTTCTCTGGGTTTTTGTTTTTATATAAAATGCAACGGCATTAGTAACTGTTGCAAATGGCATTCATTTGGAATGACCGGTAAACATGTATTTCTGCATGTCCAAGCATGTTCAGCTCTGAACCAGTGAGCGATGCCAACACATAAAGCTTTTATGAATGTTTTCATGTTCTACTATTTAAAAACATTTTTATATGGCTGTCTTTTTCGTCTTGAAAGGAAGAAATATCATATGAAATAATTATTTAGAATTTTGCCATTACTTTTAAATATGAAAACAAAATTGTATATTGGTAATTAGATTAAACACGCTGATAAAATCAGGTAAATAGTAGGTTGAAATAGTGAATAGAACTTTACGAATGAAAGGTTTTACTTAGGTCACCAAGTATCATTCACTTACCTTGCATTAATTTATACTAATTTTTGCTCCAAATACCATATATGAGGTGTCTCAAACTTGGCATATTCTTTAAAACAGGAGATCTCACTAGTTAAAAAGTTATAAACATACATAGTTTTCTTCTTCGGGTTTAATAATGTAGAAATCAGTGAGAAAGGACTTTGGGGACTGTCTTTCTTCGAAGGAACTATTTTTACAGTTGGCTCTTAGCTAGAAACGTTGCAGATGATTACTCCTGAGAGACTTATGGGTTCTACCTTCATTTTATTTGGGTTTGCTTATATGTTGGGGGATGGTTCTTCATTTGCATCACAGATATGAATTTAACTTTAATAATGTTAATTATTGTTACGAATTTTGTACATAGATAGATGATTTTAGTGCAGTTATATGTGAAGTTTCGTATTTTGCTACGTAATGTAACACGAAAACTCTGAAGAGGTGGGCTATGGCGTAAAAGTAAAAATTCAAGGATAAGTCCATTTAACATTGAGTAAATTGGTGTCTCGGTAATTTAGCGAGATATCACCAAGCTGACAATGGCTTCGGCGACTTATTTTGTTTTGTCACCAAATTTGGTGAAAAATCGCCAAAAGCCGCCAGGTCTGGCGACCATTTGGTGACATTTAGATCCTGTTCCTGTATCACCGTATGTAATTGAATAGGTATTGTAATTGAATAAATGTAATTGATCACTATATTAACTGCAACCGTAATTCGACCCTCATATTGCTTTCCAGTTATTTCGAGAAGCAGAAAGGACTAGACATATCTCGGCGGCCGGTTGTAACTATATAAGGCCAGAGAGAGAGCATCTGCAGTCAGTTAGTGTTGTTGCAAGTAAGTTGTTAGTTCAGCTAGAACGGAGTTGTCTCTGAGTTGGCTTTCTCTTTAGATGGGCTTTGCGTTACGTTGTGTGTAACGTTTTTAGTAGTTTGAAATGTAATTACTGATTGTATTCTGTGATACCATGAACGCATGTACGAGTATTTCTGTGGAAAATTCCAGAACTTGGAACAGTTTCATTTAATAAAAATAAATTTTATTAATTTATCATCGAACTTGTATGCATTCAATCTGTTACGAACCTATACGCACGCAACGTTATTTCATTGTATTTTGGTAGTAAATGCCTAAAATTATTCATTTATTCAGACTTAATTTGATAACTCGTCTGTCATGTTTGGTAAAGGACATTGTATACTTACGTATTATCGCAACCACTTTGGCGCAGTTTAGCGAATTTTACGGAGGAAAATGAGCAATTATTTTTATTATAAATTTTATATATTACATGCATACACATCATCACATACATAGTCTACGTTTCAACTATGTATTTGTTCCAAAAGACAATCAGTAAACCTATTTACAAGTGGGTTTTAGATTTTTTTTGGGGGGGGGCATTTTGTAGGCCATCGTTTTGAGATAGAATTGGAAGCATTGTTCTTTTAAAGATTTTGCAGGAAAATAATATATTCCTTCAAATATATCACCTCTCTTCTTCTATTACAGGAAAACCCTACAAGCACAAATTTAAAAATTGAGTTTAAGATACAAAATAATCATTATCTGTCTATATAAATCGTTAGAATTTGGAATACAACAAAAGGAACACATACGAAAATGGCGGCGTTGGAAACTGAGTATTTGTCATGCTGTGGATACTAGAGTTTAATGTATTCTGAAGCATTTGTGGATTTTTACTAAGGTGGTTGCGAAATTACGTAATTACCGGAAATTGCTCAATTTGGCCACAGAAAATCTCGGGGAATTAAGTGTAAAATTTCAGTGCGGACCGTGTATTAGATTAAGAAGAAAGAACTCTGACAGTTATCACGGTATTTTTGAGAAATAGGAGTGTATCAGATTGCCGCAGCTATTGAAATTACTGTGTTACGAGACAGTAAAAATTGGAAGGAAAGTACCAAATATGGTTTTGCAACCAAAATTCGAAAGAGAATTTTCTGAAAACAATTAAATACCAGTAGTTTCTTTCCTTATGCTATTCAGTATTATATTTCTGCATTGAAGAATAATTTACTTCGGTCTTGTCTGCACCACTTGAGACGAGTGTTTCTCTGAGAAGGGTTGGGTAAACTTAAGTTATTGACTTTTCTTTCATGAAAACTGACTGTCTTGTTGAATCTTCTTTAAATTGTTTGTCTCTGTGATGAGATGTCCTAAATGACAGCTGCTGAGTGAGTTGTTTTGCTATTGATTGTTGTGTATTATGGCGAGCAGGAAGAGCCGAAGAATATGTTTTCTTAGCTTGTTGAATCTTATGAACATCCTTAAACCAGCCTTTTTGTTTATTGTTATAGATTCTTAACCTGTTTGTTCAGAATGCAGTTTTCTTAGAAGCATTCAGCAACTAATTGGCTGTTTCAGTTTGAGATATATGCTGCCAACTCTTGTCCATTTAATGAGCATTCTGAACGATGTATAGGAAAGCTATTATTCGACATATTGTCGGATTTTAAGTTTTGCATTGTTCAATAACAGAGAGCAAGCAGTGTTACATGTTAACGTGCTTTATCGTTGGCTATTGTTATGTTTGCATTTTAGTGCTTCAGGGTCAACTTAGAGCAATTATAATTTAATGTCAAACTGAGAAATACGTATTCCTCCCCCTCCCGTTCAGAAAAATTAGATTCAGCTTTATTTGGTTAGTTAATATTTTAATTCTTTTTTTTTTTTTTTTTTTTTTTTTCATTTCAGTTTGAACGCTAATGTGATGGAAAAGTGTGCGATATTCATTTGCTTTGTTTTATAGTTTTCATTAAATGTGGTGCAAACTCTTTTAGTTCTTTTCGCCCGGCAGCAACACAATAAATAATATTTAATAAATTTAATTTTAAATAATATGATTATTCTCAATGTAAGTAATTAAAGTAAAATTTTTATTTTAATTAATAATAATTTTAATATCCATGGGCGCAAATAATAATATTTAATAATTTAAATATCTTTGGGCAAAAAGTTCGAGTAAAAAAAGGGGAAAAAAGATATCCAGCATTATTTATTTATTTATTTATTTTGTATTTGTGATTATTGGACATCAGTAACGGCTGCATTGCGCAAATAATAATATTTAATAATTTAAATACTTGTATCTTTGGGCAAAAAGTTCGAGTAAAAAAAGGGAAAAAAAAGATATCCAGCATTATTTTATTTATTTATTTATTTGTTTGTTTGTGATTATTGGACATCATTAACGGCTTCTGTTTCTGTTATTTATTTATATGAAATTATTTATATAAATATTTTAATAAATAATAATAATATATGAAATTATTTATATGAATATATAATTTATATGAATATGTAAATAATTTCATATAAATGTATATGAAATTTATATGAATTTAGTTATATGAAAAAAAATTCTCAGCCAAAAAAATAAATAAATAAATAAAATAAAATAAATAAATAAAATAAAAAAATACAATATTTAAAGGGGTTGTTCTTGCTTTGTAATATGATTATTGGTTTGTTTCGTGTAGAAGCTTCACTGGTTTGAAATATAATAGATTAAAGTTTATGATGTGCTTTTAATATTTTGAAATTTTGTCGTAATTCGCACAAAATATTCATTTCGTGGGCATGATATGAATAGGGTTGCCAAGCAGCTTTTCTGTTAGCAAGTTAGGAATTGCATATCAGCAAATTTCAAGCAAATTAATTTAAACTAAAGGCATAGTTCATCTACACTCTTTCTCCTTTAAGAAAGAATAGTTTGCATTTGAAGAAGTGAGTCTATGTTGTTTGTCTCTCGAAATGTGTTCGGCATTTTTATTCAACAGTTGAACAAACATAACAGTTGAATTTTCTTGATTATCAAAATTTCAAGATGGCGTTCAATTTTTTTTTTTCATGCACTGTAAATTTTACTGTTTTTAGTGTTTTATATCTTACCAGTAATTTTAGTAAAAACATAAACGTTTAGTAAAAAGTTTTAAAGTGTATACATTCTAAAACGTTTTTAATAATGTATAGAAAATACAGGAAGTGAATTAAAAGAATTCAGCTGATTTACTTTACAGGATGCTTGCTCTATTCGCATATATCTTCACGTGCTGTGGTGTTAATTGTTGGTTGTTTATCAAAGAATATTTTGTGTGTACAGAAGCAGACGTTTTAATTTTAGATTAAATTCGAATTCTTTTAGATGCCATTAAAAAAGTTATGATATTAGATTTTGTTTCTGTTAAAGCCACAAACATAATTTAATTGATTTTCCTTATCTTGCATTCAAGTATGCTCCTCCCAAAAAACATGAACTTGAGAATTTTTTTTAATATGGGAAAGAATACGTTTTTCTAAAATAAATGTGTTTTTCGTTTTGGGTATAATTTTAAAATAATAAAACTTGTTAAAAATTGATGCCTAATAAATAAATTAAAATTATTTCATACCTACAGACTGCATTGCATTGGGCCGCAAAGCATGGTAATCTGGATGTTATTAAACTTCTCGCTGGCACCTACAAAGTGGATCCAAATGCAAGAACTGTAAGTTTTATTGTATTTTCACCTTTTTTTCAGTTTCAATTTTGCTATGTCTTGCTTTACTTGAGTATTAATTTTTCAGCTTGATTTCTTTGTCAGGTGTATAAAGAAATAAAAGTTGGATAAATCAGTACGGTTTGTTCAATTAATATGCATGAAATGGCTGTCAGAGACATTACATGAATAGTCAGTTTAGTAAAAATTTACAACTTCGTTTTTCTTATAAATTTTTTTAATTCATATTTGAAAATTTTTTACTTTAGATTGAATATTTCGAGTTTCTATACTCATGCGTTAGTGTAGAACAGTGGTCTTTAAATTGTGTTCCGTGGAACCTCTGAGTCCCAGGAGTCAAACTTCTGGGGCTCCACAAGTCAAAATAAGAATTCAACATGACATATGTCAAAGAGAATGACGTTCAATGCTTTGCAAAATTGAACAGTTTTATAATTAAGACACAGTAACACGCCGAACAAATACTAATTCAGAAGTCAAACAACAAAAATCAGAAGCGTTATATTTTCAAAATTTTCACAGGACTAGTTTCGATGGTTTTACCGAACCACCATCCTCAGCTGCAAAAACGCAAATGAACAAGATAGGAAATAATGATATAAGCAAGTGGCGCCATCTGTTGATGAAACCAGAACTAAAACATAATTTCTTTAAAAGGCCGAAGGCAAAGATTGGATTGGAATTAGGATCGTTAACTAGAACAGAAAGATTTTTTGAATGTGAAAACACCTCTAGAAAATCCAATTCTCCAATGGAAGATGTTTTTTTGAATAATTTTTCGCAGCAGAAAAATTGAAAGTGGATTTTCAGACCAACAATGTTGGGCAACAGAAGGACTTCTGTGTTTCTGCGTTAAATTTTTTTCTAAAAAAAATATGCCTCATGTTCTTTAACGCAAAATTTTAAGGCTCTCTTAGTTTTGGCCAATGTAAATTAAACCACACTGGCAAGGAATCCTGTAAATACACCAGAAATTCATATCCGGAATGGGATCTTTGAGAATGGAATTCAGAATTTTATTGATAGGAGAATAAACGACCCGAAAGTTAAATTTCTGCAAAATATGTGCAACCTTATAGCTAACTGATGTAAAGAAGGGAATGACAACAGAATTTTTATAATCTCCTAAAACAAGAGTGTGTCTTTTAGTGTGTTGAGATGAGAATTTTTTAACTGCTTGATTAATAATGTTGGGTGAAAAGCCCCTGTCAATAGCTATTGCTTTTAAATAATTTAGTTCTTCATCAAGGGCTAGTTTGGAGGAGCAAACTTGAAGAGCACGGAAAACATAGGAATAAAATGAAGCTAACTTTTGTTTAGTCGGATGACATGATTTAAAGTGTGGTGGAAGGCAAACCGATGAAGGTTTACGGTAAACCGTAGTACTGAAGTTGGATGTGTGTTACGTGTGACCAGAATGTCGAGAAACGGAAGACAATTGCAAGTCTCAAGTTCAAAAGTGAACTGAATAGCAGGATCATCAATAGAATTCATTGTTGAAAGAACTTTATTTAAATCATGTTTATTACCTTCAAACAGGGTAAAAGTATCGTCTACGTAGCGGAACCATGCCGGGAAGTTTAAAGTTTCAAACAATTTTGATTCTTATAATGCATGTAGATATCAGCCAGGATGGGACTGAGGGGGCTTCCCATGGCTAATCCCTCAGTTTGCTTGTAATATTTATTTTGGAAAACAAAATGTGTTTGTTTCAAACAGAGTTGAGTGAGAGAAATTAGCTCATCAATTTCGATGCAAGAGAAATGAAATTCGCGAAGTCTGGTTTCTAGACATCTTAATGCACCCTCCACTGGAACATTGGTGAATAATGATTTTACATAAAAAAAAACCATGAGTAAATTTCTAGGAGAAATGTTTTAACTTTTTTTACAAACTCTATTGAATTTTTTATGGTGTAAATGTTATTGTCTAATAGAATTGAAAATCTAGAAACTAAATATTTAGCTAAGGAATAAGAGAAAAGGAATACCACTTTTATGAATTTTGGAAAAAGCATATAATTTGGCACAATTCGCAACAGATGGGATAAGCGAATGTTTTAAGTTGCTTGAAATGATTTGTGAAGATTTGATCGCAGTTTTTATTTTTGACAAGTCCGAAGGTGAAGGATCTTTAGGGTTCAGATTATATGGTCCTTCGTTTAAGAGTTTAGTGACACCATCGATGTAAGTGTTCTTATCCATGACGACTATCTGGCCACCTTTGTCGGCCTTTGAAATGATAATATCCGGGTTAGAATGAATTTTCGCGCATTGTAGCTCTTCTTTCTCTCGCAGTTAGATTTGGTTTCAAAGGTTTATTATTGAATTTCACATTATGAGCGATAAGATGCCTAATCATTTCTTTCTGTGAATCTTGAAACTTTACTGAACTTGAAAGCTTTTTCGATTAGGAGCCAAAATCTTTGGAATCGAGGGTTTACAGGTTTGTGAGAAGTTAAAATTATATTTTAGAATTCTCTCTTTCTTCTCTGAAAGACTAACATTAGAAATATTAACTATTGGCTTGATGTTTACAATGGGAAGATTTTTTGAACTACTTGAACTGGAAGACTGTAAAAGAAGTTTTTCGAATTTAACTGCAAGTGTGTTTTTATGACGGTTCACTGCATTCTCCATTCTAGACCAAGACTTTCGTTCAAGGGCAGTGAATTTTGGATATGAATTAGCGAGTTCCTGATGAAGTTTATAGATTTCATGTTCAATTTTGGACAATTGTTGACGTGTATCCCTTATGATGGACCGAAGTAAGGCAAGCTTGCAATTTAACAGAATTCTTGAAACGCGACTGGAAGGTTTTTGATTAGATTTGATTTGAATAAAATTGGGGATCAATTTTTTACATTTACATTTAAGTAAAACGTCAAGATGATTCAGAAATTGCCGTTTCAGGCGTAATTTAGTGAAAAGATTAACGGATGAAGGCATGATAAATAATGCAGAAAACCAAACTAAGCAATAATAAAGCACACACAAAACAGCAGAAAAATCCGTCACTGAAATAATGTAAAATATTTTATATTGTAAAATGAATTACATTTAGATGACATTGTTAAAAATTTCATAGTGGAGCACCTTTTTCAGTTGAAGAAAACCATAAAGGAATATTCCCCGGAAGAAAAAATTAAGTATGACTGGATAAAAAAATCCGTTCGAGTGCTACGATAAATCATACGGCTTGCCAGGGAAGAATAGGGAATATCTTATTGACATATCAACACATTCGACACAAAAAGTCTAAATTTAAGCTAAAACGGCTCCTAAATTTTTAGTTGCAGATTCATGCAAGCAACGTAATCTATCATGTAAGCATCTAACGTATCATGTAAGCAACATAAGTAAGTAAAAAATCTTTTTCAGTATATGTGGCAACAAAAAGAAAATACAGAAAAAATTAGATATTAATTCTTATTAATTGTGAATATTAGTTGTGATTGCAAAAACAGAGCTAGACTTCGACAGTTTGTGTAAAAAAATGCAAGCACTGCGTTGTCAGTAATGTAATGCAAGAGTAGGTAACACGTGGAGTAAGAATTATAGCTATTAATAATTATATTAATTTTATGTTAAAATTTTTTGATAAAAAGTACATTATTTTTCTTTTTTTGCCTTTACACAAAGTATCTATAGCATATTAATGTGCTTTTAAGATATATTTTTCCGAAGGTAAGGTGGGGTTCCTCGAAAAAAGCTTGTATTTCTAAGGGTTCCGCTAGTTGACAAAATTGGAAGATTACTAGTATAGAAAGTACACTGCCGGGGGGGGAGGGAGAAGAAGAAGACAGTTCTTCCATTCTGTTGGTCCAACTGACGAAATTCAAATTGCGTTTTTCATGTCTCGAAAGCGCGACTAGGATATCTATTAGATTTTTGTTTCAATATAGGTTTTTTGACGTAAAATCGAGCTTTATCTTAAGTAACATATCAATGTTTTCAATATTTCGATTCTACGACACAAATTATACCTAAATATTAAATTTTGTAAAATTTGGTGCGAAATTTGCGGAGAAATTCAAAAATTTACCTTAGCTTTTTTTTTTTTTTTTTCTTCCAGTTTTCGCGAAGAATAATTTACTTGGCGAACTTCGTAATTTATAGCATCCTATTTTCCTTTTCTTTTTACTTCCTTGTACGAAGTAAAAAGGAAGTATTGTAATCGCGAAAAGTTTCAGGCAGCATATTTCAACGAAAATATGCATTTTGACCGCTATCGAATGCAATTTAACGATGTTTTTGCGTGATATCTGTACGTAAGGACAGAATAAAAGACTTTTCCTCCAAAAAAAATTATAAAACTGCTTTAAAATGAATTCTGAAGAGAATTTATCGTGGCGTCTGTACGAACGTACGTACATACGTATCTCGCATAACTCAAAAACGAGTAGCCTCAGAACGTTGAAATTTTGTATATAGGACTGCTATAACATGTAGATGTGCACCTCGTATTTTGGTTGCAATCGGCCTCACCAAACGTATATAAATATATTTATATATATATCCACTCTGTTACCCGGCTCAGTGATCTCAGGTTCTTTAACTCTTATATGTTTGTAAATTGTGACATTTTTTGCTTGAATTTGCTTGATAAAATATGATTGAATTATGTTGTTCTTATCTTCCGGTTAAGGTTTTTATGCCTTTAGTAAATCTGCTATGCAATATTTTTAGAATTATCAACAATTTTAAAGTTGTTTAAGTGCCGCTAAGCTTAATAATCCTTTTCTTGCCATGGCGGCCATTGCTTGTTTACATTTGAAACAGCAGAACTAGTTGGATTTGTTGCCAATCTATAGAAAACGTAAGCTTCGCAACAACAAATAATAACGCCTTCATTTATTATTAAGCCAATTAAATCATGCTTAATCCTTTCTGGAATTTTTTCGAGGAAATAAGTGTTTAAGATTTACTTCGTAATTTTTAATACAGATATTTTGAGTTTTTATGTATTTTTTGCCTTCTCGCGAAGTG